GAATTTGATTGATGTATCTCACTTACAAAAAGATCTTGTTATTGCGCTGAAAAAGCGAAGATTAATTTGTTTCTCATTCAAAGATTGTTCGCTGACTAGGGCCTCTCTCTTATAATTTCAAGGACCACACGACAGATCAAATCTCAAGAGTTCCAACAATTTTTTTTGGTTTCTCCAATGGCCATCTTAGTTCTTTATAAGCAACAAAAAAATCGAGTTTCGCACTCAATGCTTTTCTCTCCAGCTTTGCGAAGCTCAATCTTCTTTTGGCTTTTTTCAAACTTCAATATGTCAAATAATCACTTTCCAGCGTGGTGTTAAGAAACATTTAAAGCGAAAGGTATGACATATCAACGATACCATCCAAGAGCAATCGAGCGTACAAAACTGCTCATTCAGTGATAATTTCACTTAATGAACGGTGTGAAATGTTAGTCGTTGCCTACTTTCAGTATAGGGGACTGAGCGCCTCCAAAGGAATGGAAAAAACGAAAGGGTACTGCCCGACTGATGAGACTGTCGCGGTCGAAACACGTGTGTCGGGCTCTATAAGTCAGCCCTATAAAACAGACCACATGCATGACTCAAAAAGTGGTAATTTCGCATATTGACATTCAATTTTTTAATGGACGAATTGTTAAAAAAGTTTTTTTTGCTTTCCTATCGCTGCCATTATGTGCCACCTCTCCGTAATACGTCAATCAAAGATAGATGGTGTGCTAACTGCTGGTATAAAGATTCTTTCCTTCATCTAGCACATCACACTCGAGCCTGAACCACGTAGTGTGCCACATCTTCAAACATGGTGTGATCAGAAATGATAAACAAGAAGTTCTATTATATTTAGAAATGTCAATGGTATAAAGATAGAAGCGGGTGAGATAGAGGGGCAGAATAAACCAGTCGAGTGATAAAGGTTTTATGATTGTATAGAAAGTTAGCTAATGTCCCAAGCCATCCACAGCAATACAGCTGTGCCGCCGATCAAAACATATAGCAGTACTTGCATGTTAGGCAATGACGATTTAAGTCGGTCTCATTTGCTGGACAAGAAGTTTTCATAGAAGTGTTAGTAATCATTCGAAAGCTTAAATCTCTGGCTACAACCCTGCATCATCGATTTATCGCTGAAAGCACGAAAAGCTTATCAGCATGTAGAAATTTTCTGTAGTAGCAGAATCATGGATTTTTCTCTAAGGTTCTGGCATAGTGCGCTAGATCACTATCGAGCTACACGGCATCACCTTTTCAACAAGTCGTCGCTGTGGCTTGCCTTCATCATATTCCTCAGATTACCTAACTAACAAATCGCCGCTCTGTCTTTTCTTCACATTTTACTCAGCTACAAAACTTTTCGGAGACTTTGTTTACCAGCCAACTCCGGAAGCGGGGAGACGGGCAGATGCGAAGCGATCGATAGCATTTGAAATATTATTGTTCAATTAGGAATTTTTCCATTGCGTCGACAGAATATATTCTAATATTACGGAAATCCTCCACGCGCTGATATCCTTTTCGAGTTTCCAGCTACTTATACGTGAGGTAAAAATAGAGGCGGAAGGGAGTGAGAAACAAAATATTATTCTGGATGCTACAGCGTTATAAAGGGGTGTTTTGATGAACCGGTGGCGTGGAGTTGTAATAAGGGATTTAAGCTTTTGAACAGTTATTAACACTCTTATAAAAAATTCTTGTTCTGCGAATGAGATTGGCTTGATTTGCCGCCGTCTAACATAAAAGTACACATAAGCAATAGCGTTTCCATATTATAATATTCATTTTCAAAGCTTGCTTCGTCTGGTTGCTTGCACGTTAGATTGGCTACGGGGAGGTAGCGTAGCATGAGAGACATCTCATGCACTTAAATTTATATACATAGCCAGGTCAAAACAATCTCAGGCAGAACTCGAATGCACTCATACCACGCCCGTCACCGACTATAAAGCTTTCCTATTTCCTCCGTCTATCTTATTTTATAATTAGACCTAACATATTATGAGTATATCGTCTTCCACAGTGAGCCACAAAAACTCAGAGCAAATTAAAGACATTTGGTGTCCCCGGCAACAGTTTAGGGCATTGTGCAGGGAACCATTACTATGTTCGTCAAATGTATGTATTTGCTGTTATATAACTTCTCCCGTACTATTTTTTTTACTCAGTGATTATTATATTTCAGATGTTATTGCCAAAAGTCTTTAGCGCGTCTGAGAATGTTCTAGTGGCATCAGCCCGACACCTGGGTACGGTCGCGCACCACAGCTCGTCATCTAAATCAAAAAGGTTACAGCAAAATAAAATCTACATGGGCACTTCAAGCACTGACCGACTGCGACCATCTGTGGAAGTCTTCTGCGACAACCGCACAAGTAGGGCTTTCGCTAGTCTATTGTCATTGGCGATGAGTTCTGCATCTTTTGCGAGAACAACACGTCCCACACCCACTAGCTGCCTTATGGAAAGACCTTCCACCTCAGCGAAAGATTGCCACATTTAGAGAAACTTGCCTGTACCACGATACCACATCCATATATAACCTTGATAACGCTCCAGCGGGCTATCAGCCCTTCCTCGCTTTAAAGCAGCATCTGTGGGAGAAGAAATCGAAAGATTACATGAAGTATTAGTGACCTCACAAGATTCTTTAATAGTCATCTCCAGTCTTTCTGCAAGGAAGGTATCTATTCTTATCCACCATAAGATTGCATATCACCGACCACGGTGGTTATGTTGTTGATTAGCTTATTTTTTAAGTACATAACAACTGAAATGATAAAGAGTCAACATGCGAGAGAGATTATTCAGCAACTCAATCTAGCATCTTGAGTCGATCTCAAGGAACCACACCACACTGAAGTTATGGACCACCCTCAGCAAGGATCTAAAACTTGCTTTCCATTTACGATAAATCTCATTTAAAATCCTATTCGTATACAGTTTTGTGAAGACACGATTTCTGAACAGATTCAAGAAGAGATTCCACTGTTGATCTTCATTCAAAGTTGTGTAACTCTTTTTTTTCTGAGAAATCCAGCGCAACTTGTTAGGAATAATAATGTTATCGATAACCGCTTCATATACATACCATTCACAATTGACGTTTTTCCTTTTCTTTCAACTAGTGCTACTCAACATTATCTCAACCAAGCCGGTTTCGTCTTTTTGTGTGGCAAATACGTAGAGATTACTTTATTTGAAGTCAACACTACATAACCTACTACATTGAATCTCAACTACCTTCCATGACACTTCGAGTTACGATAATGTTAGGAATTACATAATCATCAATGGCGTCTTTATTACTCACAAATTAACACCTATTTCACACTATAAGTGCTCCTGGGTGTTTAGGGGAATACACTATCAGACATACAACTTTTCTTCTGCCTAACTTAGTGCAACCGTATTGGGACTAGAAGAAGAATATAATTTGAAAAATTCCTTCATTTTACCCCGCCGACTGCAATATCATGATCCTATTATCAAAGATCCGCAGATGCTGAGTGATATGGGAAACATTCGACTCCAGAAGGGTACTAAACTAACATTTCATCAATACTGGGATGCATCTTAACCTATCACGACACAACAGAACCACCGCTCTTGAATTTCTCGTCCTTCAGTAATGGCATATGAGCCCCAAGCAACCATCAACGGTTTTGGGCTGCGAAAACTGCACAGCAGCCGGTAACTTAACTATGTTTAATTCCGATATGTACTCAACAGGGCATATCTGAGGTCACATGTTGACAGCTGATACTATGTGTAAAACACAAGTTCAAGTCGAGTCTGGAGTTGAATGCTTTGCATGTCTCCAAGCATCCTTGGTTATATAATTATAAATCATAGCACTGCTCAGGTGTCAGCTTAAGTGGACTTAATGTAGATATGTGCCCAAAAAGCCAAACTCGTCAATGGTTGGCTGCTGACAAAAGCGGTGCCTTATATCAAAGGCTGCTGACAAAAGCGGTGCCTTATATCAAAGAAAGAGTGATAGCAGGAGTTGGCATTGGTAGTGTAGTGGTTGCACGCGCACCCATTATGTGCGAAACGCGAGTTTAACTACCGCATGAGATAGAATATACTTCATATCACCTGGCATCGTTATATAACAGGAGAGTGTACAATATTTTGCTATCATTCTATTTCCTTCCAATTTCTTTCTCCTCCAATCTTTGGAAGAATATTTTTTTAATTACTCCGAGATTACCCCATTTTGAGACACTGCCTTTTTTCCAAAAAGCTTTCCCAGTGGCGACACTTTATCTTATCTTGATCTGCCACACCGATGATTTATGGATATCTACTTGACTCTCCGACAATGAATAAGAATGTCCTACGAAGCCCTTTAGCTTGGCTAGCTTTGCGATTGCAAGCGGACGTTCTCGACCAGTATTCTACAACATTCGTGAAAAAAAATGAAATCCTCAAACTAGCGATGAGACGAATGGAACTCAGGAGTTCTGGCATTCGCACAAGAACTGTGATAGGGATTAACAAAGTGATAAAATGATTCTCCACTGAATTCATATCACTGTGCGGATGCGCTTTGACATCTTAACTGATACTTTCTCTTTTGCCTTTTGTGATGTAATTTACATATATTCACGACGATATTGTGAGGTCCCTGCATCGCCATGTATCATCTCTGATTCCAAAAGTATTTCGTTTTACCAAAGAGTTGCCACCTCACGACGAGATTAGCTGAGACGATTGGCGCAAAGTCACTCATTCAGCATACTCATAATTTCTAATGTTTTGACTGCAGTTTTCGCAGTGGCACGATGTTGCCAAGAAACCTAAAAGAACTGAGTGATAACCAAACTTACGACCACAGACGGGAGTCGAACCCGCGTGTCGTCCATACCGTGGACGCATGAAACAATACACCGCAGAGGTACATTTGAGAAAACCGACCGACCAAACCGACCAAACCTGTTACAGGTTGATGGCTAATAGCTAACATAGCGATGTTGAAGAATGAGTGGTGGCGTAAATGCATCTCGGTGATGTAGTGGTAGCACGCGTCCCTGATATGGACAAAACGCTGGTTCGACTCCCGTCTGAGGTCGTATTTTTGCTCGCTGCTCAATTCTCTTAGGTTCATTTATCATACGCAAACCAGAAGTGAGTACTTCTCGACGAAAAATTCTTTAAGAAGATAGCAATGTTGCACTAGCTTTCAGTTGTACATAGCAGCTTCCCGTATTTATGCGAAATCGTATGAGCATCAACCACGATAACAGCTCTCATACTTCGATCCGGCATATGCGAACATTCGAACCTTGTAGAGAGTGATTTTAGAGGAGCAATGATAGAAGAGCTATTGAATTAACATTTTCGGTGAAATTATCCTCATTTTCTTGATAAAGGGGACAAAGGACGGCCAAAAACTGACAGCGCCAATACGAATCCATTTCCACCTGCTCTCTCCTAAATACCAGTGCAGCTGGAAGTGACGATTTCGACATTTTTTTTTTCAGCGTGTTAACGATATCTAGCACAGTGCCTTCGGATAGCCTTCCATTTGCAGATATTAAACAAGGCTTGGCTGTCACAAAATGCAGTCACACTAATAATTTTTCCTCGTGAAGGTCACATAACTACCTGTCAAACCAACAACCCTAGTGGAATCAGACTTGAATTTGAACTTGTAAGACATTTTGCATGAACAGAAGCTGAGCCGCAATGAGGAAGATATTCCACCGATAATTCAATTTACCTGAAATTTGCGTGTTTCATCATGGAACGCAACCTATTGATGATACGAATGACTGAATTAGAAGATAGACTGATGTGATGGGAGCTACTTGTTGGACGTGGGTACGCTGGTAGGAGCATTTGAGATTTTTGCTCAGGATGGTCATGATCGGGATTTTATATCACCAGGACATTAGTGCTGCAAGTTTTTATTGATCTCATAACAATTGTCGTAGCCGGGACATGTAATATCGTGATCTCGCGTTCAATCACAGAAAGCTTCAGTAGGAAACTTGAATGTGACCATAGCTGCACTTTGTATGATGTGATAACCACCAAGTTTTGACTGTTTGAAGATGCAATGTTAGATATGCAGGTCACATTCTTTATTAATGTTGTAGACAGTGGTATTTTTCATAAAGCTCATTGGATATCTAAAAAACCAAAATTCTAAAAGTTTTACGATTCTATATCGGCGATTCTGGCGCTGCTTGCCTCTTCTGCTAAAAATAGAGTTTCTGTGAACAAGACAGTGGTCTGGTCGCATATGCTAATTTGAGGTAAAAGAACCAAGAAAAGCGGCAACGTCACTAGTGAAACTGCCATTTACCATGAATGTTTTCGGTTATCTCGCTGGTCTTGAACGGCTTTCCGTCATGTACGCTTTCATTACGAAGGCTCCGAATATGAGATGCATTTCTCCATAGTTTTGCTTTCAAAGTGCACAGTGACTGCCTCGAAAAGGAAGATGTGTTACTGCGTGGATTACGAACAACGTTCGAGCCATCATTCATCTACATTTGTTCGAAAATAAACGTCGAGTTAGGTCATTATCATGGTCTACTATTTCAAAATAAGCGCATCATACAAGCATTGTTCAGGTGACTATTTCAAGCTCGGCTTTTGACGCAGGCGAATTGAGAAATTTGCTTATTTTTGCTTCTACCCTATATTTCTGGTGCATATGCACTTCTGTAGAAAATCACAGCCGATGTAAACAAAAGGGAAACACTGGGAGTGAGTCAGATAAGGAAAAGAAATTCTCACAGCCCGAAGAAGACCTTGACCTCCAAACGAACGGCTCACTCTTTCAAGGGAACGTCGTCATGAATGATAAAGCGATACGACCTCATATGGCTTGTCCGCCGTAATACTCTACTGTACTATGATACTTTAAGACGACGTTTTTATTACCCCAATATGGAAAAAAGACTTCAAGATAAGGCTCCTACTTTTCTGCACCAATTTCAATTCTACTCAAGAACTCTTACCACTTCCTTAACAGCATCATGATGTTATGATTATATATCCAAGAATTTCGAGCGACGTGTAAAACATGAAGCCCCAGGCCGGTTAAACTCACAATTCACACTACCGGGTTGTGTGCTACTCGCGGCCCTTGCTCTGCTACCACTGCTTCTGTGGTACAAGGTGTCGATGCTGTCAGAAAGTAATCGTCCAAAGCATGTACTGGCATCATGCCCGATTGAGCTGGTGGCTAAGAAGTATCTTATATCGCACAAAGAGTGAGATTAGATCAATGGCCTCTGTGGTGCAGTGGCAGTAGCGCCTGCGGCTCGGATGAAACGTGGGTTCAGCACTCGACCGAGGTTTTGATTTGCATGTGACTCATTATTCTGTGATATATATATATAACATCATAACACTGCTAAAACGAACTAAAATAGAGAATTCTTGTAGATTATATATATCCACTGATTGCCAACTCAACTGGGATTGATTGCGAAATGTGTTTACCATATCGAACTCGTTGACTATCGGTTGCTAACAGCCCACGAATAGATTATAATGCGACTGAGAAAAGGTAGATTGAATGTTCCGGTGTAATAAAGAACTCAATGAACAAGTTTGAAGTTGCCGCAGGTTCCAAAAGTCTCTATCGCACCTCAGCACTCTTGTAATTATAATTTACACCGTACCTTGCGTTGAAAATGAACTGTCAAATTATAGAACTAGAAATGTAAGGTTCATTTGACCTCTGTACGTTCTCATCAAATGCCTTGTGATTTTTAGATATCATAAGGCAATACTGATGTACCGAACAAATGTCTACGCACCACTGGATACATCTTCTTACCGCATTTTGTTAAGAGAATTTTGAACATTTTGAAGTAGTAGCTTCCTGTCAAACAAGGTAAATCCGCTATGGTATCTGATAGCATTCTTTACTAAAATCTGTTCCAGTTGATGTAAATGAGCCCTGGTATCGATAGTTTGATGATCAATCCCAAGTGGTAGGGCGTTAATTGCACTAACGTCCGAGCACTTAAAAGAAGTGTATAATGTCAACGTTATTGGGTTGAAAATCGGGTGCTTGCCGTTTAACATTGTGTTGATGGAGCAACAGTTTAATGAAAAATTGCGCCCGTCTCATATAAAAAAAACTTCCACTTTGCAGAGAATGTATCATTGACAAATAGTGAAGGGGCGATCCAGAGTTTAGACAGGGACAGCTTCTTAAACCATTCTCATTCAATTTGCTGAATGCAATCTTGCTTGATTACTAAGAAGCGTGAAATCTCACGGGTGATATTCTGCAGCAGTAAAAAGATTAAGTTTAGTGTTGAGTTTCAGTAATATCAATACTGACGAAATCATTGAGATAAATATAGCGAAGTGTTCGAAGACTCATATCACGGCGGCGGCCACATGCGCGCATATCGGGCATGATAAGACCACGTGGAGGTCGCTCTATCTAAATAAACAACAAAACAACTATGCAGTCATTGCTGGGCAAAATGACTGCTGCCAAATGGCGAGACGTAGACCATCACCTTGACACATTTAGGGATTCACCCACACCTATACCAATGCACAAAAGTATAATGTACAATTTGCACCTAAACTCTCTACAAAGCCGCCAAAAATGTTTTTCTTGCAAATATTTTGCCTATTCATATACGTTTGAGTAAAAAAAACTTGGTCTCCCAATGGAAATCTCATTGTACTAGGAAATACCGCTAAAAAAACCTAAAAGATGCGAGGGCTGGAAGCATAACGTGATAATTGTGATCGAGCAAAATATCACACTACATCGGAATGAATCTTGGTTAAATTGTCATCAGCACCAGGAAGTGTTGTGCTTGTTTTTGTACTTGATTTTTCTCTCTCACCTTCAAATTTTTTGCTCTATTATACTCGCGCTCCTTCACTTTTCAATATCCCCTTTGGCAATTGTGGTTCTTCAATATGACAGGGAGGAACTGATCTAACAAGTATCAGGTAATCTTATAAACATATCGAGTCTCAGAAGCAAAATTCTACAAGATTTGATGAAATGCGCGACTTTCGTGCAGTCAGAGAGCTTTTCTTTTTGGCTCGCATGCGATTTTGGTGTTACTTTCACTAAGAAATGAAAATTTACCTATTTTTTTTACCTCTTCTTTATTGCATCAATCCATTTGAGCAGAGCTAAATAAATATTAGAAAGTGTATTTTGACTCATGAGTGACGCACAAGGAGCTAAAAGCATAGATTAACTGTAATAAAAACTCGAACAACATCCTTAAGAAGATGGCTGAGGGAGTGATTCAGTATTTCAGGTAGACGGCATGTCTTCCTACAATGATAATAATCTATAAAGGTCTTCAATTTCCTTCACGAGCAATTTCCCGAGTATTCGTGATCGTTGTAAAAGTACTTTGTGAAGGCGCGAGGCAATATTTTAAGATGTCCTAGCCGAAGGCGGGACTTCAGGATTTCGGAATGTGATGGAGCGCTGATATAAGTGCCCCCTATTGTTCGCTACTGGGAGGTGTGGCCTCGTACAAAAGGTCTAGTCGTTTAAGGCGTTCCTATGCTATCTATTACTACTACTCTCAACAACAAAACATGACGCAAGTAGCAGCAAAGAACTGGTATCAGGTGCAGTTCACATCCACAATAGCGATAACTTTTCTTATTCGTAGATCTCTTTGATTTTATCATTGCAGCTTCTCTCTACCCTTTTCTTTGATCCAAAATAATTTAAAACATCTCAGTTAATAAATAATTCAGTTATGTCATCTTTCAATATCCATCCGAGATCTTTTATTACAAAATCATACTTTTTTCCTTCACCTCGTTACACTTCCATTCCCATAAGACAATTGCGTTGAGTCAATGCTGGTATTTTCACTAAGGTAAATATTTAATATTGAAAATATTAGATAAAACACATCTTCGGATCAAAAACCAAACTATATTCAGTAGTTGCTATGCTTTCATTAGAGCAGTTTTTTCCATGTCGCTTTTAGCTAACTGGAACTTTTGTTCAGATAATCAAATCTGCACCCAAAGGTCGATTTCAAGGACTCAAACGAGATTATCAGGTTTTCCAACCTTATCACAACACACCTTTTCGTGTTTATT